CTGGTTTAGCTGATCTGCTGCATGTGAATTGAACCAACAAAAGTAGGTTTCACTCAATTAACAGACAATGGCAAACCCCTTCTGAAGTAACTTGCCAAGAAAACCCCATGATAGGTTTGCCTTAGGGTCACCATAAATCAGAAATGACTTGAAAACACTCCACAACAACAAATCAACTTTCAACAACATCTTTGGCTTGCCTTTGATATCTTGCAAAGCTTAGTTTATATCTGAGTCACATGCTCTGATTGGGAGCCTGGCCAGCAACAGTAAATGTCGATTAATGGGAAAATAAATCAAGCTAAGAGCGCAGATCCAATTAATTGTTATGTACAATACCAGGCTCTGGGTGGAAAGTCATATTCTTTGGGATAGGTTTTATAAACAAGAAAACAGAAGGGGACAGCCAGATTTAATTTAGACAAGAGAGAGAAAAATTCTCCAGCAGGCTACAAGAAACAAACTGAAAGAGTCGCAATGATTTTTTGTTGCATGAGGAGAGGGGCAAAGCTGTATGGATACCAGCATGGTCCTTCTTTTCTATTATGTTTGTAGATCTGTCAATCTTTCAATCTATTGATCTATCAATTTAAAGATTAAATACAGAGTAAATCTCCAATATTAATTTCCCCCACAATGTAACTCGCTAGGCAAAATACTCCTCTGAAATTTCCTATCCATAATTATGCTAATACAAGGAAGAGGCTTCCCTCTCTTTTTATCTGCTTGGTGGACTGCAAGGAGAAGATGAAACAAGGCAAACCAAAGTTGACTAGTGTTGTATTAAAACTGGTGCTCAAGCACAATGCCACTATCTTCTGGCAGAGAGAAACAAATATACACACTATGTATTTATTAGGCAAACCTTTGTTCAGTGAGTTCCAAATACAGGTAGCCATTGCACAAGATATGTATTCTTGACCTAGCAGTCAAAAAGGGGCACTTTCTTTGCATACAGATGACTGTATGTGGCAACCAAGTGTTGGAGGACTGTATAAGCTGGCTAAAAGTGATAATATGATACATGTGGGCAAAAGTGGGCAGCATGGACAGTGGTGGCAGGATGAAAAAGCTGTGGGCACAATGGCTGTGCATGTGAAAGAACCAAGGCATTGGAGAAATAGGGTGGCTGGATCTGATGATTCGGTCTCCCTTTCCTCACTGTCACTGCAAGTGGAATTGCTACTGCAGGGCACCAGTACTATTCTGGCATAAGCCTATAATATTTGCTTCAAGACATATTATCTCAAGTATTTATATTCCTCTCCCACACATATCCCAAAGCAATTCACAAAGACAACAAAATATCTACATACATGAGACAGGACAATAAAACCACCAAATAATACAAACACAAATACAGTTTAAAAATAGCAGAGACAAAGTTATCTTTCAAAAACTAATGTGGCTCCAGAGCATTGAATAATGAGGGTACCTCCCAACAATGACTGGAAGGGGTGTTCCCACTGCACCTCCTGTTTCTTTTCTGAGAGCTGGAGTTCCTGCAAAACAGGTCCTAAAGACCAAGTAGGGTCCATATGGGAGAAAGGAGAGGCCTTTAAGTGTCCTTGTTCCTGCTGCCTCACTGTTTTGTCACCTGTATGGGAAACACACTAGTAGCTTGAGCAGATATCTAAGGACTACCACAATATGCTTTGGCTGACCAGTGATAGTTAACAGTCTAATTGTTGGTGAAGGCTGGCACATTTTTTACACACTGGAGTAATCTAGCCTGGATGTTACTGGAGTAAATGTGGTCTGGCTATTTCTGTTTAAGAAAAGAAATAAAATACTTGAATATTCAAAGTTAAGGGCCATCTAAAACAGCAACCCTTCCCCCCAAATGGTAAATTTGGGTTTTCTAGGGGGAAAGCAGACCTCTGCAAGGCAAGCTGAAGGACAACCCCCAAAGCCAGAATTCATTGAATCATGTGCCATACAACTTTGTCCTCATCTAGCCCATTCCTATCTCTGGATATTGTACCTAAACATACATAAGAAGCTGACTTATACAGTTGGCCCTCGGTATCTGCGGACTTGTCATCCACAAATTTGAGTATCTGCAAATGGCAAGCCCACATTATCCCCAATGATGGCGTGTGCACGTGGCTGTGCTGCCATTAGAGACAGCCCCTGCTATCCCCAGTGATGGTGTGGCCACATGCATGTGTCACCACTGGGGACAATGGGGAATGTCCCTAATGGTGGTGTGGCCACATGAATGCCCCACCACTGAAGTCTTGTTGTCCCTAATGGCAGCACGGCTGCATGCAAGCGCTGCCATTGGGGACAAGAGAACCTGAGCATCCTCAGATTTTAGCATCTGCGGTGAGGTCTGGAACAGACCCCAAAGATACCAAGGGCTGACTGTACTGAGCCTCATACTTTAGTCCTGTCCTGTTCAGCACTCTCAACTGTGACCTGCAGCAGCTTTCAGAGTTTTGGGCAGGATTCTTTCCTAGCCTTACCTGGAGATCCAACCAAGGTGACTCTACTCAGCTTCCAAAATCAGATTATGTAAACCTAAATACCTTGAAAGCACCAGATCTTGGAAGCTAAGCAGGGTCATTCCTGGTTAGTACTTGGATGGGATGCCACCAATGAATATTAGATGTTGTTGATTGTATTTCAGAGGAAGGAACTAGTCAAACCACCTTCATAAGCAAGTATTCTTTGCTTAAGAAAACCCTATGAAATTATTTGAGTCGCCATAAGTCATTAGATGATTTGAAGGCACAACACACAAGGTTCAAAACTTGCACTACTTTCCCTGATGGAGATGTTAAATACAAAGCAGGGTTACTAGACTGAAAACTGGAGACTGTTCCTGTACCTTTAATGGTTCTGTAGAAGAAGGAATGCATGGCTGCATGACAAGCAACACCTGCTCAAAATTCCCTTCTGTACACTACCATTAAATATACAGGAACAGTCTCTAGGTTTCAACCTGACAACCCTAATAGTTGTCAACTCTTAGTTGTTATTATACCAGTGATAACTATGTTGTCAATGACTCAACTTGGCAATAAAGGAGTCACTGACTTGACTCGCAATTTGTTTATTTTTAGCAATTGATTCACTGGCCTAACTTCATTCAGAAACATTACAGAATGGAAAACTTCCATTTCAAAGCGTTTTGCCTACCTACAGGTCACATGATACTTTACCTTTGCCATACAGGAAGACCCTGCTTCCTGTAGACCCTGCCCCATGGGGTTGAGTCTTATCTGCTACTTCTAGGAAAAAATTTAGAAGGCTGATGCTTAGCCTGTCTGATGTTCAGTGGGGACAGGCTGCTGAGTACACCTCAATCCCAGAGTGCAGGGCATGTTTCTCAGAGGGCAACACCAAATGAATTAGGCCAGGGGTCGGCAAGATTTACAGACCTAGGGCTGGTCCGCTGGTCCTGGGGTCTTCCACTGGGCCGGGGGGGAGGGGGAATGGTGGCTCTCTCTCTCTCTCTCTTGCATGTGCAGTACTCTCCGGAGTACTGCGCATGCGCGAGCGAGCCGCAACCACCATTTTGGCAAACAAAATGGTGTCCGTGATTCATTTGCGCATGCACAGTACTCGATGCATGCGCAAACAAGTCACAGTTGCCATTTTGTTTTCCAAAATGGTGGCCGCAGCTCATTCGCGCATGTGGAGGAGTACTGCGCATGTGCAAACGAGTCGTGGCCGCCATTTTGGAAAACAAAATGGTGGCCGCGACGTGTGTGGTGGCAGCGCACGCAGCGGCAGCAGGGGGCAGCAGGGGCCAGTCCAGAGGCCTCAGGGGGCTGCACCCGGCCCCCAGGCCGTAGGTTGCTGACCCCTGAATTAGGCAATGGACTTGAGGCCTACTCAGCAGCCTGTCCCTTTTGCACATTGGAGGATCCTTCAAGAGCCTTCCACCTCAAGCCCTTTGGCTAACATGTTTGCTGTTCCTCTCCAAGAAATGCATCCCATGCTATGAGGGGACTAGGAAAAGCTTTAGAAGGCTCCTCTGATGGGCAGCACGGATAAGCAGCTAAGCAGACTTCATTTTTCTAAAAAGCAATCTTGATAAATTGCCTATGCTAATTTAATTTTTTAACCTAACTTTGTGCACATCTTCTTGATGTTCTAGTTATCAAAGTGCCACTCCCTCACGCCCCACCACCACTACCCTTTTCCTGTTAAAGTTGGCTCCCACACTTGAGACGTGACTTGAGACCTGACTTGAAAATATCTTGCAAAGACTTGAGACTGAGAGTAAAAGACTTGAATACATCACTGCATTATACTAATAATTCCTTGTTCCAAAGCTCTGGAACATCAACCTCAGAGGTTTCCTGTGCAAGAGAAACAGAAAATAAAACTGTGGAACATCATACAGCTCAAGTACCACAGCGGAAAACAAAAGGTTTTCCTGCCCAGTCTCACGTCACCAGACCACAGCACATTTGCATGCCTGAAGAATTGCTGGTTCCCTGATTCCTCAGACTTTCTTTGTTATTTGTTGTTGTTAACTGGCCTCAATTCCACCCTAATTCATGGTGACTTGTGGATGAGACATCTCCAAGACACCCTGTCCTCCACTGCTCTGCTCAGGTCCTGCAAATTCAGGCCCCTGACCTCCCTGGTTGAATCTAGCCATCTTGCCTGTCCTCTTCCTCTATTTCTACTTCCCTCTATCTTTCCTAGTATCATTGTCTTTTTTAAAATGAGTCATGCCTTTTAATGATGTAGTCAAAACAAGATGGCCTCAGTTTCTCCATCTTGGCTTCCAAGGAGAGTTCAGACTTGATCTGTCCTAGGATCTATTTTTTTTTTATCCACGATATCCTCAGCACTCTTCTCCAGCTTGTTGCTAATGTTGTTGTTGTTAGGTGCCTTCAAGTCGTTTCTGACTTATGGCGACCCCAAGATGACCCTATCATGGGATTTTCTTGGCATGATTTGTTCAGAGGGGGTTTGCCATTGCCATCCTCTGAGGTTGAGAGAGTGTGACTTTCCCAAAGTTACCCACTGGGTTTCATGGCTGAGTGGGGATTCAAACCCTGGTCTCCAGAGTTATAGTCCAACACTCAAACCACTATGCCATACTAGCTCTCTCTTCTCTAGCGCCATATCCCAAATGAATTGATTTTCTTCCTACCTCTTTCTTCGCTGTCCAGCTGTCATATCCATACATGGTGATGGGGAATATACTGGCTTAGACAATTGTAATGACTGACTGGGTGTCAATCCCCCTTCTGGGGTGTTACTGATGTGGGCCACACACCCCACACCCTCCCCATGATGCTATTGGTCAGGGTCAGCATCTTAATTACTGCCACCCCTTCCCTTTTTATGGCAACCTTTGTTGTTGTTTGTTAAATGCCCTTAAGTTGATCTTGACCTATGATGACCCTGTGGATGAAACATCTCCAAGACTCCCTGTCCTCCACATCTCTGCTTAGGTGCTGTAAACTCATACCCATGTTCTCCTTCATAGAGTCCATCCATCTAGCATGATGGCCTTCCTCTCTTCTTACTTCCCTCCACATTTCCTAGCATTATTTTTTTTTACCAGTGAGTTCTCCCTTCTCATGATGTGTCCAAAGTACGACAGTTTCAGTTTGCTCATCTTGTCTTCCAGGGAGGTTTCCAGCTTGATCTGCTCTAGGACCCACCTGTTTATCCTTTTGGTGGTCCAAGGGATTCTCAGCACTCTTCTCCAGCACCACATCTCAAAGGAATTATCTTCCTATTCTCTTTCTTCACTGTCCAGCTCTCACATC